CTTTGCGCGAAATTCAAAAACAAACAAACAAAGATAAATATTTTAACTCTATTAGCAATAGGAGGAAATTAACAAATATATAATAGATGTGCAATAGATGCAATTTATACAGGTAAATTGTGACTATAAGGGGTGTTATGGAAAATTATTTTATTTATCCTAAAATTTAAATTTTATTTTCTGCCTTGAATTGTTGATACTGATACGTAAAAGAGTAAAAAATGTTTATATTTGAATTACAAGTAAGTTTTAAAACAAATCGCTAATATTGTTGAACACTTACATATTAAATTTGAAATAAAGATACGTTATTTTACATATATTTAAAAAAAAAATATATTACCAGTTTTTGTGTCATAGAATGATACGAATTTCGGTATAAGTCAAAGTTCTTGCTACGCTTGTAATAGCGTATACTAATTAAAGTAAATATAGAGAATGGATTTTATTGATATCTAATTTCACTTATTTGGTAAACAACGGTGTCAGTTTAATCCATGAAATGCATTCTTCTTATGAACTTAGGATCATTTCGAAATGGTAGGATTGTGCTGCTTTGTCATGCTCACACGCTTGGTGTGAAATCCTATTATCTACAATCATGTGTTGGTCTCCAAGACTTCTATACAAACTTGAAAATAAAGAACGTTCATAACGAATAAAGATGACTCACCAGTAAAACTTTGAGGACGAAGAAGTTCATTACAATTAGAGATGAAATATCAGTACAAACTTAAGATTTAAGAAGTTCATTGCGATTAAAGATGACACACCAGTAAACTTTGAGGATGAAAAAGTTCATTACGATTAGAGATGACATATCAGTACAAACTTGAGATTTAAGAACGTTCATTGCGATTAAAGATGACACACCAGTAAACTTTGAGGATGAAAAAGTTCATTACGATTAGAGATGACATATCAGTACAAACTTGAGATTTAAGAACGTTCATTGCGATTAAAGATGACAAAGCAGTGCAAATTGGTACTCAATCTAAAACAACATTTACATCGATATGTGGAATAATCTCTTTTACATTTCTACAAACTGTATTTTACTGATTTCTCCAAAGTTAAAAGGTGAGGCTCATTTTAAACCAAGACATTGGTATAAGCAGTTCAAAACAAACACGAAATATTAATGAATACTAGGTTGAAATGTCTAGCAACTGTGAGATCCTAAGCAGTAACTTCGTATTTTTTTCTCTAAGGTACTTAAGTGGCAACAAACTGAAGACCGTTCCACCAACCAGTCTGGCCAGTCTCAAGTGTTTACAGAGGTTATGGCTGGACAATAACGAACTGACCGAGTTACCTACAGATGCACTGGAAGAGTTACGGAATTTACAAGCATTGTAAGTACTAGTTTGATAACCACTCGTATTATTTAGGCTTAATAAATGTCGCTTCATTGTAACGGAAACGTGTTAATACAAGTTTCTGTTACACTAGCTGAACTTGACCTTTATAAGTGAATTCCATGTTTTCAATACAAATTTCTTTTACACTAGCTGAACTTGACCTTTATAAGTGAATTCCATGTTTTCAATACAAATTTCTTTTACACTAGCTGAACTTGACCTTTATAAGTGAACTCCATGTTTTCAATACAAGTTTCTGTTACGATAACTGAACTTTGTCTTTACAAGTGAGTTCCATGTTTGCAATACAAGTTTCTGTTACAGTAACTGAACTTAACCTTTACAGACGAATTGCTTGTTTTCATTCGGAAGTTCCCATACAAAAGAAAAGACTCGTATTTTTTTAAAACAAAAAGCTGGAGGCAAACTGTCAAGGAAGAAGTATAAATAAAATACATTTTGTTATGTAGGAAGAAATATAAACAATACACATTTTGTTATATAGGAAGAAATATAAATAGTACACATTTTGTTATGTAGGAAAAAATATAAACACACATTTTGTTATGTAGGAAAAAATATAAACACACATTTTGTTATGTAGGAAGAAATATAAATAATACACATTTTGTTATGAAGGAAAAATATAAACAGTACACATTTTTTATGTAGGAAGAAATATAAACAATGCACATTTTGTTATGTAGGAAAAAATATAAACAATACACATTTTGTTATGTAGGAAAAATATAAACAATGCACATTTTTTATGTAGGAAGAAAGATAAACAATACACATTTTGTTATGTAGGAAGAAATATAAACAATGGACATTTTGTTATGTAGGAAGAAATATAAATAATGCACTTTCTATTTCATGAGTTATTAACAGAAATAAAAAAAAATATTTAGGATGGTGTAAATGTAATATAGTGTAATCCATCAAAATAGTTTAATGTTCCTTTTTCTTTACTTTGCAGTCTTGTTTGCTTAGAATGTTTAATGTAACTACAGGTATCTAAACCATTATTTGACAAAAGTCTGTGTGTTTGTGTCACCTTACAACAAACGAGCTGTTTGGCCGTTTTTCACCAAATCTTAGGGCCCCTGGAGATGACATAGTGGGGTAAGCGTTCGGATTTTACTACTCTATGTCACACTCAAGGACCCCCTTGTATTTCCCGTGCGTTGAACAAGTACGTCGGCTAGTTCTAATAAATATGCGAGTAAAACGGTGAACTACTCATTAATAACAATTTAGAAATCTGCAAAGTGGAAATCTAACTGCGTTTTTACAAAATTATTGAACTTGTTGTATTTTATTTTTACAGAAACATTGGTGCCAACCAAGTCAGACACGTTCCGAATTTTGCATTCCAAAATTTATCTAACCTCGCCATTCTGTAAGTAGTTGTAACTCGAATGTACTCCATGGGTGTAGTGGTAAATGTTTTTGAATTGTAGTAAGACAGAATATCTTGTAAAAGTAAAAGTAAAGGTGAGGATAAATGTAAATATAAAGGTGAAGATAAAGATGAATATAAAGGTTAATGTGAAGATAAAGTTAAATATAAAGATGAAGATTAAGTTAAAGGTAAATATAACGGTGAATATAAAGGTTAATGTGAAGATAAAGTTAAATATAAAGATGAAGATAAAGGTAAAGGTAAATATAAAGATGAAGATAAAGGTAAATATAAAGGTTAATGTGAATATAAAGGTAAATATAAAGGTTAATGTGAAGATAAAGGTAAATATAAAGGTGAAGATAAAGGTAAAGGTAAATATAAAGCTGAATATAAAGGTGAATATAAAGGTAAATATAAAGGTGAATATAAAGGTTAATGTGAAGATAAAGTTAAATATAAAGATGAAGATAAAGGTAAAGGTAAATATAAAGATGAAGATAAAGTTAAAGGTAAATATAACGGTGAATATAATGGTTAATGTGAAGATAAAGTTAAATATAAAGATGAAGATAAAGGTAAAAGTAAATATAAAGGTAAATATAAAGATGAAGATAAAGGTAAAGGTAAATATAAAGGTGAATATAAAGGTTAATGTGAATATAAAGGTAAATATAAAGGTTAATGTGAAGATAAAGGTAAATATAAAGATGAAGATAAAGGTAAATATTAAGGTACTTATAAAGATGAAGATATAAAGATGAAGATAAAGGTAAAGGTAAATATAAAGGTGAATATAAAGGTTAATGTGTAGATAAAGGTAAATATAAAGTTAATGTGAAGATAAAGTTAAATATAAAGATGAAGATAAAGGTAAAGGTAAATATAAAGGTTAATGTGAAGATAAAGGTAAATATAAAGGTTAATGTGAAGATAAAGGTAAATATAAAGGTTAATGTGAAGATAAAGGTAAATATAAAGGTGAATATAAAGGTTAATGTGAAGATAAAGGTAAATATAAAGTTGAAGATAAAGGTAAATATAAAGTTGAAGATAAAGGTACTAGTAAAGGTAAATATATAGTTGAAGGTGAAGGTACTAGTAAAGATAATTATATAGGTGAAGATAAAGGTACTAGTAAAAGTAAATATAAAGGTGAAGATATAGGTACAAGTAAAGGTAAAGATATAGGTGAAGATAAAGATACTAGTAAAGGTAAATATAAAGGTGAAGATATAGGTACAAGTAAAGGTAAAGATATAGGTGAAGATAAAGATACTAGTAAAGGTAAATATAAAGGTGAAGATATAGGTAC